AAACCGGTCCATTTTACCATTTATTCGAACAATAGGCCCTATGCCATGCCATGAAAACGCGCCCCACACCATGATACTTCCACCGCCGTGCTTAATGGTTTTTTGGTGTACCTAGGGTTAAGGGCTTGACTTTGCGGATGACGTAGAATTGTTTTTCCATCTGGACCCATCCTATTTACCTTGGTTTCGTCGCTCCAAAGCACGTTTCTCCRAAATTGTTCTGGTTTGTCCTTGTGTGTCTTTSCAAATGCCAGTCGAATTTCTATGTGGCGTTTTGACAGGAGTGGTTTCTTCCTGCTAACTCGTCCAAAAAGTTAAGCTTCGTTGAGTCGTCTTCCAACAAGTTTTCTGGATACGTTCGCACCATATTCGTCATTAATTTCCATCATTATTTCTCTGGCTGACTTAAAAGGATCGGCTTTGCTCTTCCGTACTATGGTTTTGTCAACCCTAATATCGGTTTTACGTGGTCTTGGTTTTCTTGGAATATTTTTGTTGACACAAGATGGGTCCTTTATTGTTGCATGAAGAGCATTATATACCATTTTTCGAGAGCAATTCATTATTTCTGCAATTTCGGTAGGAGATTTTCCATTTTTGCTCATATCGCTCATAAGCGCTCTCTTTTTTGGCGTGCTATGTTTTCCCCTTCCCATTTTAATCAAATATCGATGAAATAATTATTAATTTGCAAAACTAAATTAAAAACACGCGAAAACTGAACACAAAATTTAAAATAAACTGCGAACTTAAAAGTGTGCTATTTATGTGTCCACTTCAAATCAACGCTATACTCAATAAAATTGCTGCGTAAAAAGTATAATAGGAAATAAACGGTATTTTTGAACAGCGAAATGAGCTTCATAACGGTAACAAGTAGATACATGCCACATTGTTATTGTTCATCAACTTTACGATTAAAGAAACGAGAAATAATATTGGATTCGGATTTGTGCTATTTATGTGTCCATGGCTGTATATATATTTATATTTATTTATCTCTCACTGTACCTATATATATATATATACTTGTATAGGTATTTATCTCTGACTCTCTCCAAGACTCGCATTGTTAAGTTGTGCTTTGGTTTTTATATTTACTTCTTCTATTCATGCTCTTACGATTCATATAATTGCGGTATTAAATGGGTCTTCTGTTGTTTTATATCTCAATGAAGTGTGAAGTGTTTAACGAGTATAATTTTCGTTGATGTGTTGAACTGTAATTAGAGCGCTCAAAGGACGCGGTTTTTTGGTGTAGAACATTGTATAACAAGTTTGTCACGAAGTTTGTAACGGAGGTAAGCGCCGAAGACGCTATAAACTACATATGTATATGTAAATGATCATCTAGACGAGCTTACTCATGTCTGTCTATAGTCTCTCAGTTCAGACATCGATCTGAAATTTCGAAACGAATGTTTCCTAAAAAGGCTGCTCATTTGTCGGAACCGCCGCTATAGCATATATGTAGCTGTCATACAAACCTGTCTCTTATACACATCTAGATGTGTATAAGAGACAGCCTTTAAAGGCTGCTCATT